GATCGCTATCGCGTCCCGTGTGTCGGGTTTCACCCTGGCTGCAATGACAGCCGTTAATCGCTGTAGTTTGTCGCTGCCCGTGTGTCGAGCCCTTAATAAAAACTACATCTGAACTATGCAAGCAGATTTTTTTCTAACACTTAATATCTTATCTAGTTATAAAGGTATTTAAAGGTAACCCTGATGGATTTGAGAGAAAGATCATTCTTTAAGGCTGGAAGTTGGATGAAAGACCATTTTGTGGTTAAAAATTGTTACAAATGTAAAAAGTAGGCCGAGCTCACACATTAGTTAGAAAAACGTTGAGGTTACTATTGAAATGCCATTGAAATTTAACAAATACAACCAGTTAATTTACGCCATTATACGGAACCGATGCATTTGCTCTGAACTGATTCGTGTTAATTTTTCCTTTAAGATCATAAGATGAGATTTTTTCATAAATATCTAAGTTATAAATCTGCTTTTTGAGCTCGTCCAATTTGCACAATTCTAACGGTGTTTTCTCAGTGGACCTGTGAACCAGAACAGTTAGGCTCCACTAGTACTCATACATGTGAAATGGTTCACTTTTTGTATTAGTAACACTGATCTCATATTTGCAAACAATTTAACAGGGAAACTGCTAAAGCTAGCCTTTCCGGTTGAGTGCATAACCCCTTGTTTAGGATGAGCTCAAAACAGTATGTCTTCGACTGCACCCAGCCTCTGAAGAAGATGCAGCAGAGTGTGTGGTTGTGTGAGTAAAACAGGGTAAAGAGCCTCACCGAAAAGGCCTTGTGCTCCATGATCTCCCGTAGAGGGATCAGGAGCACTCCACATTAAATTGCGCGCCCCTTCTTCACTCGGCATGTTCCACTCAGATCCTGAAGTCAAGAGTCCTCCAGAGAAGCTCCTCAGGGAGTCCGACCAAGAGGAGGAGGGACCGTAGATGGAGCTTCCATCGATCCACGCTGTCACAGAGTTCACCTGCAAGTGGCACGTTTTGACTCAAACTGTGTCCCACACAGGAAAAAGCTGCCTGCGAAGTTTTTTTTCTTTCAGTAATCATCACCTGTATGCGAGGGTTGCTGGGACTCTGTCCAGACTCTTTGTCCCGTTGTCCTCTCTGGAAGGGCAGCAGGACTTTTCCAGTAGCGGTTGGGTCAAAGATGGGGTCACCTTCAGGGACCTGGATGTTCATGAACTCAGGTGGACAACCAGGAGTTCTTGAGTCGAAAATTTCAAAAGCAACATGATAACCTGTAAAAATATCAGCAAAGAAAATAATTATAAATGTAAATATTTTCTTTAATATGTAACTGCTGTATTGTGAAAGATTAAAATGATGTAGTATTTAAGTACATGAAGTATGTAAAATGTGTTTTTGTATTTAAAAGTATAGTCATCTACACATAAATCCTGTCTTCAGCTCAATTTTATAACTAATACAAGTTTATTAACAGTATTTGTTCTGTACACTGCTGAACCTGAGTGTCAAAAGTTTTTTTTACAATATGTTGAATGACATTAAACTGAATAAGAACATGAATCTTTAGGATCCAGTACTGAAGTAACTAAACCAAAAGATTTTGTTGTCATAATAAAAAATATCAACTGTATGACGATGTTGAAGTGATTTGTCTTGTCATTGTGTCCTTTATCATTTTCCTGTTTCTATATCAAAAACAGTCAGATCAAGACCTCTGATGGTGTTGTTTTGTGGGTCAGAAGTCAAAATGTTTGGAAACAATTAAACCACTGCTAGTCATTGGTAAAACCACCTGAAAGGATTTGTGTCATGTTAGAAACTCTTGCACAATATTTGTTTTTAATAACTTTTTGCATTTTTTTAATCAGTAGCTGCTTGTCCAGTAAATAGTTACCAAAGAAGAGAGACAGCACGGTCTGGTTGCGTGTGGAGGGCAGACCAGAGGGTCCTTCAGTTAGCAGCCTGCTCAACCTGCGGGGGTTCGGCTGCAGTGGCTCCAGGACAGGTTGGTAGACCCCGTCCCAGTAGTGAGCCGGGATGAGGCGCACGAGGTGAGAACCTGCAGCACAAAGGCAGCTAAGAAATTACATTTTCTGTGGAAAGAAAATGCAGTGCAACACTGAATGATTTTAAAGTTATTTTCTAAAGATAAAACTTAGTTGTTAAAGCTGAATCAAGTAAAACATAAGCTAAAAGCTAAAAAAAGGAAAAATGCTAGCTAAAAGCACCAAAGCTAAACCTAAATTCACCAAAACATTAACTAGAAGTTAAAAGATACCAAATAATTAAAAGAAAAGTTAAAAAAACAAGGCAAAAAATATACAATGCTATGTAAAAGTAGCTAAATACTAGCCAGCGTAGCACAACACTAGATAAAATTGAAAGTACACTGCAAAAACTGTCCACCTAACCAAGTTTTAAAATCTTATATCCAGCCAAAAAAGTCTTTTTGATCTTGTTTTGAGACTGATTTACTAAACAAGAACTGATTGTGTAAGAATAATAATCTTGTTTTCAGAATGTGTAAGATTATTTGTGTTGATTGCCTGAAAATTTAACTCAAATTCAGTCAAAACTTTCTGCCAATGGAGTAAAAAAAAATTTACTTGGTAAGATTCTTGAAATAAGAAAAAATTGAGTCAAATCAAGTATTTCAAGTATCTTACCAAGTAAAATTTTCTTACTCCATTGGCAGAAAATTTTGACTTAATTTGAGTCGAATTTTCAGGCTAACAAGACAAATAATCTTACACATTCTGAAAACAAGATTATTATTCTTACACAATCAGTTCTTGTTTAGTAAATCAGTCTCAAAACAAGATCAAAAAGACATTTTGGCTGATATAAGATTTTAAAACTTGTTAAGATGGACAGTTTTTGCAATGTAGCAGAACATTAGCTTAAAAAGCTAGTTAAAACACCCTATCTAAAATGTAAAATTGTAAAACTAGCTAAAAACAGTGAGACACTGTCTAAAACAAAAAATAGCTAAGTTTATCTAAAAGCTGAATGCAGCAAAAATATTAGATAAATGCAGCAAACTGTAATGTAAGAAATGCTGGTGCAAAGTCAAACAACCCTAGCTAAAACTAGCAAAACAATAAAGCACACAACACTGGCAACTGTATCTAAAAGTTGATAAAAGCAACATGTTAGCTAAAAGGAGCAAATGCTAGCCAAAAATCTCAAAGGGAGAGTTAAATATAGTAAAATGTTACTTAAAAGACACAAAACTCAAATCCTCCCTGAAGTTTAAAGTAACAAAAGACATGCTAAAAGTGGCAAGCTAGTAGCTAAAATACTTTTGCATTAAGACTTTATAAATATAATCAAACATTTTAAAAAGTATAAAAGTTACAAAAAACTAAAAGCCTTAATCTCCTGGATGAGCTGAACATTTTTGATATTCGGTAAGTTAAAGCTGCACAAAGTCTGCAGAAAACACAAAAGCGGGATGGCCACGGCCTGAGTCAGCAGCGTTCTGCACGAGGTGTGTTTCTTGCTGATCACGTGACCTCCTCCTCCTCCTCCCTCCACGCGCGGTGACCACCTTACCCACAGCTCCTCGTCTGGGATTTCCCAAGCTGTTGTACCAGCCGTCAAAGCGGGGCACCTCCCAGGTTATTTCACTCCCAGAATCTGCTTATTTAAAATAAAAATAAAAATGGGTTAAGCATCATAATTGAAACGACAGTAAATGTGACATTTATTCGTGTCGCTGTTCTTTACTCACGCTGACTGACCGTGAGCACCAAGCTGGCCACTGCGCACACACTCCAGACCCATTTACGCAAACCCATTGATGCGAGCAGATGCTTCTCAGCTCAGTCTGAAACCAGGGGGAGTGAAGGACTTTTGAAAAGTGAAGACAAGCTTGCAGGTAACAGACATTTCCTTTTATACTTATTTTCATGTTTGTTGAGCAAAGATAAAATAAAAAAACTACAAGTAACATCACTTGTGTACATTTTAAAATGTTATTAGAATGCATCAGTATCCTTCAGACATTAAAAGACATTAATTATTAATCTCCTAATTAAAAGAAGACAAAATAGTGAGTCTCACCCACAGCAGAGGCAGAGGTGTTCAACAGGACAGCTGGTTTGAGCTCAGAGCATCTCTGAAGAAAACTGAGGCACTCAGGTGTTGCTCAGCTTTGTGGATTATTTCTCAAATGGGAATGGCTTTCATGTGTGGATCACACCTCTTTCCTTCAGCATCCTCCTCCTCCTCAGTGACACAAAGGGGGGACACCACTGGTATAAAAGAAGTGTACGTTCCCTCATCTTTACCTGTGCCTGTCCTGCAAATCTCAGGTAAGTGACCATCTTTTGGATTCTACAACTTCTTATTTGAATTACTTACAATTTGGTGTCAACTGCACTAAAATCAAAATAAATGTCTTTTAAGAAAGCATGTTGACTAAAGCAAATCCCACTAATGCATACAGGGAAAGCTTTGTTATTTTTTACAAGTGCATTCCTATCTTCTTCCTTTTTTTAAGTAAAAACAGACCAAATGTAGCAAAGTTAGATGTCGTTGCATAAGTTAACTCACTTCATGGTTGCAGTTTACCTTATCAGTTTTAAGAAGAAGTGCTATCTGTGCATCTGGAGGAAAACTGAGAAGTCTGCTCCTAACACTGCCTTCTCTGTTACGCCACCCCGGTCTCAGCTGTGTCCTTAGATCAGGTGCTAAGATGACTTTCTACGACGACATTTACCCATTCTACCCTTCACAAAGGACTTCCTTCATCTTCAGCGGGCGGTTGCTCACCATTATTCTGGTCTTCCTTGTGCTCACGGTCAGTCTTCTTCTCATTCTGCCGGGAATACGAGGCAGGACGGTGAGTGTAACCCATCAGATGACCTGTGGGGTCACTGCTAACTAACATCCTTTGAGTTCTTCTGTCCCTCTGCACAACCAAAGCAGCATTAAACATCTGTTTTATTTTAAAAAAATACATATAACTTTGCCATTTTGCTCCTCGTTAGAGGCTGTTTTGGATGTTCAGGATAATTACCAGCTTGTTCATTGGTGTGGTTTTAGTGGGTGAGTTTTGTCTTCATAACAAAAAGCTGCGCAACAAACCACAGGTTTTCCTTTTTAATTTTAAACCTGTAAATTCTTACCCTTTGTGTTCTTTTTGTCGCGCAGTGCTCAATTACACCAACAGCTGGGCTGAGGCAAGGATGACCACAAACGCTACCTACAAGTCTTTCAGCAACGCGGTGATTAACGCTGAGGTCGGCCTGCACGTCGGGCTGTACGGCATTAACGTGACGCTGAGAGGTGAGTCACTCCTGCTCCTCAGGGTGTTGACAGGATTTGAGCAACTCTTTGTTTTTCTTCTCCAGGATTGATTGAACTTCCGCATGTGTTAAGCAGGTAACTAAAACCAATTGAATATTACTCAAGATCAACAAAAACATGCGACTTGCTGCACAGTGCAGAAGCCATGTTTTAAAAATAAATACGGTTGGCAGTTCAACGATTTGCAGCATGGATTCTCCTCTCTTTGAGCTTATCAGTTACTAACACGGTTGTGGAGGGACTTTGGCCCACTCTGTTTTTGTTTTCAGAAAGTTGCTTTAGTTTAATGTGGGTGTTTGTTAAAGCGCGGCCACAAGATTTCACTCGGGTTGTTGTATTGACTTTACTGTAACTGGAAGAACGGGACAATGAAACCCGCAGAGCAAAATTCGTCTGGCCCAGTTCTGGCCCACACATCGCACTAACACTCAGCCAAGATACCACAAAGAATGATGACCCTTTGGTGGCCCAGGAGTGGTTTGAGGTGGTCCATGCTTGGGCCAGCACCACATAAACCAACCGGACCAGTTGTGGCATCCCACCTGTCTGCTATGAGGGAAGAACCTCGATTCTCTTTTTTCATTCTGCTGTAGATTTTCTGCTGGGTTTTGGATAATTTTCCTGTTTGCATGACTCACTTTAGATGAAGTTTTCATTTTCTAATTGTCCTGTAGTAAACTTTAACATTTAACATGCTAGATGAGGACTGTTGATTCTGAGATAGAGTGTATTAATACAGTTTCCCTGAATCATTTAATTGAGTGTTTTTGTTTAGTACAACCTATTATGTGTGTTTATAGATTTTCCATGCAATAATTCTGTATTTTCAGTAGTTTCTGTTAAATAAACAAATGATACCACAGAGTAATTAACCGTGTCAAAACATACGCATTGAACGTTTTCTATTCTCTGAACCTTTGTCCTGTATCTCGTCACAGTCAGTTTTGAAATTAAAAAAGGCAATTATACAACAAAATGTATGGCTTTATCAGGTGGAAGCATTATGTTGCACAACCTAAACATAACTGTGCTGAAGAGGTGAAACTGGAGGCGAAAACTCTGTTAAACTCATCATAGCTCCTGCAGAAATTACTGTAGAATCCAAAATGTTCAGATGTGTCCTTCAGATTCGTCTGCTCCTCACGGTTCAAAACTTTTAAGATCTAACTTAGAATTTTTGCACAGCAGATGTTTGTTTGAAGTTTACTTTTCAGTCCACATTTTTGTCTGCCTGTCTTTAACTTGTCCATCAATGCGTGACAGACCCAGTTGTGTGGTTAGTACAATGAACTACCAGCAGTAGATTTAACAAATGCTTATATATTTTACATTTCTTCTAAAGTTTATACATCAAAATGTATTATTTTTTTAGCTTAAATTATTAAAAAGTTTTGTTTTTGGGCAGTAGCTGCATCGACACCCTTCGAACTTTGAATTATGTTCAGATACACTACCAGTCCAAAGTTTTGACACTCCCTCTCATTCAGTTTGCTTATCAACGTCTTTATTCTTTTCCTCTTTTTCCTACATTTAAATAAACACCAAAGTTGTCCAGACTATAAAGAAACACATTCTGTAAAGAAATATGTAGCAAACCCAAAAGTGCCAAGCAAAACAAAATATGCCCAGATTGTAGACCACTCAAAGCAGGCACCCCTTACTTCAACCACAGACTGCACACTCTTGGTATTCTTTGGATCTTCTTCAAGACTCCAGGTGATTACAGAACCTCATGAAACTGATTGAAAGACAGAAGTGTTCACAGCTGCAATAAAAACAAAAGGTGCCACACTGAACAATGCAAAATCCAAAGCATGTTCTGGTTTGTTCAACACCTCCAAGTTCACTACATGGCTCCTTCTGGACGACCCCAGTACCACCCCACAACGTAGGAAAGAAAGAAAAACATAAAAGCATTGAATGAGAAAGGGGGTCCAAACTTTTGACTGGTAGTGTACTATGAAGCACAAGAACTGAAAGAAGCTGTATCCTTTGTCCAGGATTGTAGCACCGTTCATTTCCCCCTTTTCTTTTTCCAGGGACACCCATGGTACAGTTCAACGAGACCATCAACTACAACGAGATGTTCAGCTGGCATGACACAATCGAAGAAGAGTACAAGGAAGCTCTGGAGAGAGGCTTACCCAACCCCATCCTCTACATTGCTGAAAAATTCACTCTGAGCAGCCCGTGTGGCCTGATCTTTCAGTACAGATACTCGGGACGATTCGCCTCCGCAACCCTCTGGTGAATATTAACGACTCATAGTTTCACTGGATTTGTTATCTGTATGGCTAGACCAGTTCACAGTCACCAAAAGCACTGATTAGAGTCTTTTAGTTGCGTGGTTGTCTACAAATGTAATATAAGTCTTTATGTTCGAATGCAGCATGTTAAAACATCTTCCCATAAACATGTTCTGCAGGACAGCGTTTTGCTGCTGGGTGCTCGCCAACATCCTCTTCTCCATGCCCGTCATCCTGTACGCCGGGTACATGATGATGGCCACGGCCGCCTTCATCTTCTTCTCCATGGTGTCCTTCTCCACCATCATGAACGTGCCTCGGTGTGTTTTCTCCATTGGGACGGACTCCTTCGTCACAGAATTCAGCCATTCGTTTTGGTTGGCTCTGGCTACAGGTGAGCATGTTGAAAACTAATTTGTAGAGAACTGTATGTTTATTTTTGTATTTTTCTACTGAGCGAATTGACTTTCAGGTGTGCTGTGCGCCATCATTGGGATTCTCGTGGTGGCGTTTAACTTCCTGATGCCAGAGAAGATAAAAGCAGCCTTTAGCATTGGTGTCGATGGCTGTGAGGACGAGGATGACTTTTATGGGGAAGGTTTCCTAAATTCAGTTTTCCTTGACGGGGCAATGATTTCCTCTCCGACATCGAAAATTCCAACAGTAAGTTGTCATCATTAACATTTTCCTGTGTACTATATAAGTAGAGTAGTCATTCATTTTATCAGTATTAAGTTCTGCAAAATACATCATCAGTAGAAAATGGAACAACGCTGTGTACTCAGTATTATCTTGAGTGTTGTACGTTTTTGCCTTACTGACTTTATTCTCACCAATGCAGTGAACTGACCGCCACTCATTTATTTGTTTTCCAGGAGCTTTTCTGACATGGTCCAAAGCTCTCAGGGAGCCTTCACAGTTCATACTTGAAAAACAATTTAATTGAATGTGTTTTAATTGGACCGTTGGATTTCAAACTGTTTGAATTTGCTGTGTGAGCCTGTAAGTGTTAACTGTAAATATACATTTGAACTTGTTATGTCAGTATATCCAGGGTCAGTATAAAGGTTATTTTAATTTGTATGTGATCTGTATAATGTCATGTGTGTGCACACTGATCAACATAAATAATACATGTGTATCTGTCTTTATTCAACTTGATTAAATAATCTGAAGCAGAAATATAAAATTGATTGATCACTTTTCTGGTCATTTTTAGAAACATCTTGTGATTATAAAGATTTTCTGAACAGTTGGACTCCTTTCTAACATTCAGAGTTTCAAGTAATTATAAAAAAAATAGTTACAGGGGAGAGATGAGTAATGAAACAATAATTCAGAGCTTTTTCAAGTTCTAACTCAAAATCAAATACCTGTTGTTAGCTCTTTGAACAATCTCACTTTGTAGAAAAGGTCTAATTCTGACTACAGTGATGAACGAGGCCAAGATCAACAAAGATCACAGCTCGCTGAAGACGGGTTCACACTGTGGTTTTCATACATCTTAGAAAAAAAACAAAGAAATTTTTGGTTGTGAACTTGACTATGTGGTTTGGGCACTTGCACAACCATTAAACAACAAAAGAGAAATACCAAGCAGGTTCATAATTTTCTGGAAAGGTACATTGTGACAACTGCTGCGACCACCTCTTCCACAGCAACGAGTTGTTCACAGCTGTCAATTCTTATTCATCCCCCTTTCTTCCAAGTGTCTGAGTATAATAATTAGAGAGTTGCTTAACCTCTCTCTCAAACCAAAGTTCCTCTCTTTCACAGAAAACTGACCACTGCCCTGTAGATGAGTGTAAACTTTAGAGTCCTGGCCTGATGATGTAGTTCTTCTGTGCTGGGCCATACTTTTGCCCAGTGGCTGCTCTGTCCCAGTCCTCCAGATCCTGCTTCTGCATGAGAACAACCAGTTTCGGTTATCACTGATAAACTGGTTGATCCACTGTGAAGGTACTGCTAATAAGGCTGAGTTTACCTGTAACTCAGACGGAAGAAGTCTTTGGATAAAAGACTTGATCTTGTAAAAACCTGTAAATTAAGTCTACATGGACACCCCAAAAACTGTTTTTGTTAAACCTCAACACTGGGAAACATTTTAAAATCTGTTTTTAAAAATTCACAAATTAGAAAACAATTCAAGTCTAAAAGGTTTTATAAGAAATTCATAAGATTGCTTGAATAAAGCTTAATATTGCCATCAGTGTAACATTACACAGTTATTTACAGAAAATACTGTACAAGTGTGAATAGTGTAAGCAACCAGCAGTTACACTTCCTGTTTAGCCTAGAGAACATATTTTTGTTAAAATAATCACACAATCGTATAAAAGGTTATAAAATAGTACTTCCATAAAACACAATGAATTTTTGTGATTAGGATTGCTTTAAGGCAGCAGACATCCTTCTTTAACTTGACCTTGCTTGTTTGTTTGGACAGAAGTAAGCTATTTCTCCAAACTGAGGCCATTCAAAGAGCTACTTACAACAGGTAAGATAATGACGATTCATAATATTTTCAAAGAACCCACTTTGAAAAGCTCTGAAGTGTCCTGAACAAGTGAATTTCCTCAAATCTGACCATTATGTTGTGTTTCAGCATGTTTTTGCAGCAACAAAAAATAAAGAGAAAACCAACATGAGTTTAACAAACTGTATTTTCAGATTTTCTTACCATTACATTCATTCAGTAATGTGTATTGATACATTCTTGAACGCTCTGGTAAAAGTAATGATCGTGTCTCCGAACAGGAAGTGTGTCTTTGGCCTTCATTGGTGCCGTAACTCAGAGCTCAGTCCCATCTTTGTTGGCTTTGAACACTTAGCTGTAGATTAACACGTCAGATTGAGAATGAATCCCTGGTCAGCTGTTTTTTTTTTTCCACTATCACATGCATACTGTCATTTTGCAGGAGTAATATGGCCTTTCCAATCAGGTCCTTGAGTAATTCAAAGTATTTACAGTATAACTACAGTTTTAAACCCCATCTACGTTGTAAAAAAATGACTAAATCAAAAATAAATGTGCTAATTTATCTCTTCATAAGAAAATAATCATGACCATAAAGCTACTTCTCTTCGGAAACACCATTAACTTCACAAACAGCACTACAGACAGTTTTCACGTTGTAATAATAAGGCCATTATGATGATGCAATTCATGAGGAAAAACCTGAAAATGAGAACCGGGTGTTCTTTTACAGCATTGCAACCGGAGGCAAAAAAAATATATAAATAAATAAAAATGATAGAAAAATAAATTCTCCTCATCCAGCTGGGCCGCGGTGCCACGGTTCAATCGGTGCAGGGTTCTCTAGATGTAGACCGGCGTTTCCTGTCCCGTCAGCAGTCTGAACATCACGGCGGGCATGGTCTTCATGTTGATCTGCAGTCAGGAGTGGAAGGAGCAGAGACGTTATGCCGACATGTTCATAAGACCCTCATTACGTAAGACTGGTACCTCCATCTGAGCTAAAAGAGATCTTGTCTGGTGTGTCGGTGCTCAAAGTAGATGTTGTGATCGACTCTCTGCTACCACCACACCAAACTGTAGCTTAATTTCTCTAAAACAGACCCTTTTAGCGCCCACTCTTGATGATCTGTTGCAGCCATCTTGAATCATGTTGTCTCCAAAAGATAATCAGCTGTAGATGAACATCCACTAATTACTTCCTGGGAGTTTTATTAGAATCCACCTGGTGTTTTGTGAAATATTTTGCTAACAGACAAACAGAGTTGACTTTAGTAGTTAATGACAAAGTTTAAACAATCAGTGCTGTGTAAATGTTTGGGATGAATGTCACCTACTATCACGATAAATTTTAGCTGAACGTCTGTAAAACTGACAGGGTTTGAGCCATGTTTTGTGTTTGCTATGATTGGTCATCTATGGCGGCCATCTTAAATTGAGCTGACTCCAAAAGTTATTTATAGAGGTAAATCCACTGATTACATTCTGAGAGTTTCATTGAAACCTGTCCACTGGTTTGTTAGATATTTTGCTAAAAGACTCAATTGCACGACTGCCTTTTATGGCAGAGGCCATAACTTCCTTTAAAATTTAGGACACAAGTGTTCATTTTTCTTACCTCAAAGTGATGCTGATCAGTTTCTGCCTTGTGCTGGTTTGACTGAAAGTACATTTGATGTGGATTTGTGTACTTTTTGTAAGTCAGACGATGAATCCTTGGAACATTTGTTTTTCTCCTGTCATTATTCACAAAGCTTTTGGACAGAAATTAGGAATTGGATTAATCTTAAACTTAACATTCCCTCTTTTGACGTGGACATTTTGTTTTATGTGGATAAATTAAGTTCTTCCTTCTCTGATGCCATAAATGTAATCATACTTTTAGCAAAATACCATATTCACTGTAGTAAGTGGAGAGATACCAAGCCCTCCTTCCCGTTTTATGAACAAATTTAAAGTATACCTTTCTTCATTAAGTACATTGAAAAACTGGAGAACAGCTAAGATCATCTCACACCAGATCTCTACATATTTCCTGTTTTAAGATTCTCACTGTATAATTTTGCTCAGTTGTTGTTCTGTATTATCCTTTACTTTACCCCCTAACATGTAATTTGTAGTTTTATTTTTTATTACCCAGCACGAGAGTTGTACTATTTGTTGTTCTGTTTTATATTGTTAACAATAATTAAAAAAAAGGTTTGACTGAAAGTGATCAGGTTGGTGTAATACCACAGAAAAACCACTAGAGGGAGAAGTTACTTGTTTACACTTTTATCCATCCATCCATCCATTTTCTGTACACGCTTCTTCCTTTCAGGGTCGCGTGGGTCACTGGTGCCCATTTCCAGCAGTCACAGTGCGAGGGGCAGGGTACACCCTGGACAGGTCGCAAGTCCATCACAGGGCCACACATAGAGACAAATGAGACAAACAAGCATTCACTCTCTCACTCACACCTAGGGACAATTTAGAGTTATCAATTAACCTGACAGTCATGTTTTTGGTCTGTGGGAGGAAGCCGGAGTACCCGGAGAGAACTAATGTGCTGGAATTTAAAAGATTGTCATGATTACTTTTAACCATTAAAATAAATAAAGTTCCCATAACGATATGATGTCATCCATTATTGTGGATAAAGAGAAGTACATTAAAACTGATGATTTGTACTTAGTGAAACAAATTAAACCCCTAAAAATCACTCTAAATGAAAAAAACAGGTTGATTGTGTTCAGGCAAATATCTTTTAAATTGATATTATCAGCTTTTAATTGAGCATTTTTATCAGCTTTTGAATAAGCATTTATTGAGACACATGTTGAGACACTGTAACTCAGAGAACCTTTCAAAATGTCTGCCTGTAGAAGTGTTGGTGCGAGTTCTTACCTCGCCCACTGAGACTGACAGGGTTTGAACGATCTTCTCGTGCGCCATGGCCACAACGCTCTGGCCGTTTATCTCGATGATCCGGTGTCCGACACGAACCCCACCTCGCTCGGCGATGCCCCCTCGCATCAGACTGCAGATCTGGAACACACGGCACGCGTGCGTCAGTGCGTCCTTCTCAGAAAACCAAACAACCCTCAGGTCAGGCTTTACTCACGATGCCGTTCTGAACACTGAAGCCGAGCTGGAACTTGAGGTCGGGCCGCTTGATGAGGACGGTGGTGACGGGAGGGCAGCTCACGATGCTCAGCTTTACCTTCACCTGATTCTTTAAACCCTGGAGACAAGTTTTACCATTAAACAAACAAACAGCTTTTCTCTGTAACTCCTGCAGCTTTGTTGGTGTTACAAAATGATGTACAGTCCTCTTTCACACGGTAAGTGTGACAATGTTCTCCATACCTTGATGATGCCCTGGCAGGTAGCCAGCGGCAGCCCCACCAGACTTGTGTCGTTGATGGACATAATCTGGTCCCCGATGCTGAGTTTGCCGGAGCGAGCCGCGGGGCCGCTGTTCAGCATGCTGGCGAGGATGACGGTGGGCAGGATGGAGCCCCAGCCGGACTCCACTATCACCACACCGAGGCTCTCGCCTTTCTGCTTCTCCACATACAGCTGGAACACAACATCAACAAGCAGGGTTTAGATCACTCGAGCGCCAAAAGGGGGTCCAAAAAAAAAAAGGACTTGGAAATTTCAGCTTGCCTCTTTGCAGTTCTCTGAGTTTGAGAAGTGAACGAGGTCATCGTGGTACATTTCCTGGGAGTTGATGATGTCGCTGTACTGTTTGTGGCTCAGGTCGGTGGGGTTGATGCCGTTGGCGCGCAGGAACTCTCTGTAGGCCACACTGAAAGCCTGACCAATGGACTGCGCGATCAGCTGCGCCTGTTAGAAAGGAGGGGGGAAAACTACTCAGCAGAAAAAACTACCCAGGACAGTGAGAGAGATCACAGATGATGTGAAAGAGCGATCACAGGGTCAACATCTAGGACAAAACAAATGCGCAACGCAGACACACTTACGTCCTCAGACTCAAAAATGTAGCAGATCATCCTGTACTGACTCTTCCCTTCGCTGTTGGAGTCGGACGATTCGGAGAAATCCTCCGAGGAGGCCTGAGACACGCGTCTCCGTGCCATCAGAACCACAACGCTGCCAATGTCAGCGATGTAGGAGATGGTCCGCAAGGCACTATCCATCATCGTCTCCTGAAGAGAAGAAACGAAGGCGCGCCGATCGTCTGAAATCCTTCATATGAACATGTGTCTGACTGTACACAGAAGAATACTGACCTGTGTGTCAGCGTTCAGCACTTTAACAGCTTTCGTTGAGATGAAGAGGTCCACTTCTGTCATCATTTGAGAGTCTTCATCTTGGCTCTTTAAAATAAATATTTGAATCAGACTTGATCTGCAGTGTTTGATGTGATGCTTTAGAGGCAGAACACACGTTCAGCTCATTAGCAAAACACACATTTGGAAGAGGTGAGCAGGGGTTCGTAGCAGGAAAAAAAGGATCAAGAATTAAGCTGAGATTTTTGTGTTAATTAATCCTTGATTTGGTTACACCAAAGAGGAGGAACATATGTTTGCATGGTAACTAGTCTTCTGAATCTAACCGAGGCTTGAGATGTTGTTGTTTCTGAGCAATCACTTTGATTAGAAACCAGTGTTTCATACAGTTATTTAATGTTCTTATGTACGTCTGCCTCATTCATTTTACTTTACATTAAAATATCAGACCCCGCCCCTCTCCGCCCACCCACAATACAAAATAATTTGTGCAATGAATAACCATGGTTCATTTCCTACTGTGGGTTAACTTCCACTGATCGTTTTAAGGCAAAGTGATCAACTGTTCATTTTGAAATAACTTGGAAATGGATTTGCAACAAGTTTACGCTTTTGAAATTATCTAAGCATTCAATCGATCCGCTAAAATTTGCAGACTTTCTTTTTGATTAATTACGGCAGTGGTGCTTCGCTTTTTAGTGATCATGAGTTCCATCTCTTCACATGAAAAAATTAATGGTCATTGATTAATTGTTGCTCCGCTGGGGATGCGGGGTGTGTGATCAGGGTATCTGTGCTCCATTTAGAGGGTCTAACAGCCAAACCGTGGACCTGCATTCACGCTAGGTGATTTACACCTGGCTTGGTTTGAGCAGGGCTTAACGTCAGTGCAACCAATTAAGCTTGTTTATAAGTTCAAGAATTGTTCGAGTGTGGCCTCCAGACAGTATCCTGGATGGGTCCTGGATTAATCCTACTTTTGTGCAATTGGCCCCAGTGGAAGGCCTGCTGCTCACTTGTTAGCTTACGGGAGCTTCTAGTGTGTCTTATGAGGGTCATTTGGATGAAGCAGAAAGTTCTGGACTACCTTGATGTGGCTGACAGCTTCGTGGGCCTGCGACATTCGGACCGACTTGGTTGGATTTTTGTCCGACAGCACCTGAGTGCATCCGAGGTAATTAGCAGCGAAGATGATCCCGTCAATGAGGTCCTCCGGCTCGCAGGGACCTGGGACTGGACCCCGAAACAAAACACTACAAGTTAAAGCTCCATGCTGGCTAGGCGTACTTCAAATAAAATCTAATTTAAGAATATTCAAATATATTTACCATCTTCAAAGCTGGGAAAAGAAGCAGCTTCTTGTGTTTTCTTTATAAAAAAAAGAGTAAAACTGTTCAACTTGAAGATGAAAATAATAATAA